GTGTAAACCCGACGGCGGGGAGCAGAGGCATCAAGGCGGCAGCGTGGGCGCCCCTGGAGACGCTTCCATGGACGGCTACTTGCGATCTCAGGGCTTGTACAGAAAGAGGGTTGCCAAGGATGGATCTTGTCTCTTCAGGGCTGTGGCTGAGCAGGTAACCGCGTACCTCAACAGAGCTACTGGGGGTGAAAGCATGGGAAGTGGATCCCGTTGGTGGGGGGACAATCAGCGTGAAAATGCAGTTCAGTACAGGTTAAGGTGGCGCGGTCAGGTGCCGGCGGGGAGAGGAAAAAAAAGTTTCTATCATCCGAGCTGAGAGGGGGAAGTTCTGTGTGTACAGACGCTTTCTGTCATCAAGAAATTGTTACCTGTTTTGACCTTCCACTGCCTCCTCAGAGCTTTTCTCAGCCTAAGATTTCAACATTTCAGTACAACTGTGCTTTGTACGAGACTGTTGAGGAAACAGAATTTAGCAGAAAGATCTGAAAAGCCTTGTTCCTAGTTTTATTAATTAGCTCACTATAAAATTAGAGAAAGTGAGTAATTTACTTTCAGTTCTTCCTGTTGAATTCCCCTCCCCCATTTCAGTGTTACTGTTAAAAGAAAAAAGTGACAGCGTCATCTTGTCTTAAATACAAACAAACAGCAGTGGGAGCTCTGGTGCTTCTGATTGTGGGAGCCCAGATTCCTGTGCTAATTATACACAGTTCACTTTTTTTTTTTTTAAATTCCCACTGAATAAGTTCAGGCAAGCAAACGCTATTGCTTTGAAGTGAGTGGATTTTTTATTTCAAGGGAATAATCAATGAATATACACTGATAAGCTGGTGTTTTTAACATATGTAGAAGGTTTCTCCCACACTCCTGTGTTTATAGAAGTTTTTAAACTATTAATTAAAATTTTAACATCCCCTTCTTATTTTATTGAAGGGAAGGTCTTTAATTCAGAGTTAGTAGGTGTTTATCCACAAATTTGGCCTAATTTCTATACTCTTCATGCAGAAACACTGATCTGGATTTGGAAGTGTTTTAAACTGAGGGTAGTGTGTAAGGATTGCAAGAGAGTCTGCAAGTTAAAGTGACTGGAACTACCCTATGTCATCATGAGGATGCAGACAAAGCCACATTAGAGATAGCTCTGAACCTACGATGAAAGTACTGTTTTTCCAGTGGAGATCTGAACAGCAGGTAGAATGCAGGTGTCATACTGGGATCTGAATTCCTGGCTTCCTAATCAGTTAATGGGCAACAGACCTACACCTCTTGAAGTCAATAGAAAGTGAAACCTGCACTCTCTGGCTGGATTTCCTTAGAGTGGATGTTGGTAGTTGATTTCTTCATCCACTTCTGCGGTGACTTACTTCTCCATTTAACTGAAATCCGTTACAAAGGAGTCAGTTAAAGAATGACAACAGATGCTATTCATTTTGTTCAGTAAATCCTCTTAAAATGGAATGTTTGAATTCACAGAATTCTGTATTTACTTAATTCTGTAGTTTACTTAATTTTGTATTTAATTCGTATTATTTTAATTTTAATTAAGTTTACTTAATTCTGTAGTTACTTAACTTTTGATTCAGTAATAGAGGTTCACCTGCATAAAGATGTTAATGAATGAATATGCGTTCTCTATGTTCTTAAAAATAAATCTATAGTATTTCCAAGCCTGTGTTTAGACAGCAGTCATTAATTATTTATGGCCTGTCATCAAAACTGTGACTTTCTTCTCTTTCTCCCCTTGTAGGTGTTACACTCTCAGTCTCGGCATATTGATGTCAGGATGGCTTGTGTAGAATATCTCCGGAAAAATAGGGAGAAATTTGAAGCAGTGAGTATTTTTGTTTTCTTTGTGAGCATTTAAAAAAATGTTACTTTATTCCTTCCATTTTTTGAAGGTATATTCTGTTGTTTGTGACAGTATATATCTCTATATACTAGCTGATGTTTTTTCAAATGAGTGCTTTTAAAATTAATTGGCATGTGTGGTAGTAACTCCTTTTTATAAAGCTGGAGAAAGACTTGTATACTGCTTGGACTGAAGGGATGTGGGAGTAGGAATTTTAATGCTCATTAAAAAACTTTCTTAAACTTTAATAGTCTGTAGTGGAGCTATCAAAATCTGGATTTTATTTTAGTCTTATGCCTATTTTGATAAAGGTCATAAAATGTTCTTATTGTGCTATTTAACTACTTTTGCCATATGCAAGGGATTTGCCTGATGAGATTAGTTATGGTTCTTTCAGGGTCTACAGTTTATTGGGAATTGCCACTGTTTTTTTTTTTTCTAAACACCTGTAACAAAGTTCTCCATCAACCATGGACGTAAAATGTTCTGATATTGATCTGTATTTGGTCAGTGTTGTCAGTGTTAACATTACGTGATCCTTTTTTTTTTTTTTTTTCTTTTAAAAGAACAATAATAATTAAGAATGACTCCTGTTTGTGTTTGTGTGTGTTCTAGTGTATATACCGTTTAACCAATTTCCAGGATAGCCAGAACAGGAGTATGTGTAACAGCATTTGTTACTAGAGGATTATTACTTAGTTCTCTTTTTCTGTTCTAAATTTATCTGGACCCAAAATAAAAAAGCTGCTTTAGATGCACATTGGCACAGGGAAGAGAAGGAAATAAGTGTGTGTATTTGCTGTAATTTCTGACCAAGTGCCCTGTGCTCAAATGGAACTGATCACTGTTAATGTGGAAGTTGTCAAGAATGAATGCCATAAAATACAGTGAATTTGTCTGGGAGAATGCAGCTCTGATTGAACTGTTTTCATTTGCCAGGGTTGTTTGTTTCCAGTCCATCTGAGAACTTACCAACTCGTAGATCTCTCTCTTCTTACTTTATTTTATTTTTTCACTTTTGGCTTTTTAATCCATTTCTTTTCAGAATTACCCCACTCATTCCATTATCTGCTTCTCTCCTTCTGTGTTCTTGTTATGTTGTGTAGTTTTTGGAAATACCATGACCCTTCTTGACTCTAAATGTGTGTTGTTTCCTCTCCCTGATTCTTGTGTCTTCTCAGCCTGGTAACTGCTTTGTCAACTCTAGCTGGTTTTACTGTCTTGGTCTCTCTCCTCCAAACTCCCAGTCTTACTGTTCTCTTTTTCCTCAGACTTGATCCAAGCGATATGACCTCTCCTCTATCCATCTTTGCTGTCCTTCTGAAAAGTCTCTTCTTTTTTTAAAAAAAGTTTCTTGTAAGGCTTCAGAACAGTTGTTGCATGTACAAGGTTGAGGTGTTTCATAGCTGTTCTCATTTCCTAGTGTTCCTACTCCCTCAGGTACCTCACTTCAGCTCTGCTGATCTCCTTTGCTCTCTGTGCAAACCTGGGATGAATTGCACATAAATGACAGCATCTTTACTTTCTTTTAGATTTCCCGTTTGGCAGCTGGATTTTTTGGGGGGGTTTTTTTGCTTTGTTTTGGAGTGTATGAAGACTCCAAAAACTGCTTAAGTGGTTATATTCTGGAATGCAGACCTACATGTTTGACCATATATTCCCTTGTCTCTACATCACTTTTTATACTTGGATTGTAAGCTCTTTGAGGGCAGGATAGCCTTAAATTTTCAGTGGTACATTCATTCCTATTCATACAGTGGGTCATAGACTGGGGATTCCATATTCTATGCTGATAAAAGTAACTAATTACTATGTGGTTTGGTTTTTTTTTTTTAAATACAGTTCATAGAGGGGCCATTTGAAGAGTATCTGAAAAGTTTGGAAAATCCACAGGTATGTTAAACTTGTTTTATGATAGCAGTACTTTTGAATTTGAGGGATAATTGGAATTTTTTTTTCCTCACAAGTGGTTTTGTCTGAGCTTGAGAGGTCTTTGAATTATGTGAATATATACATTTACTATAAAATGATTTGGGGATTTTTTTTTTTTTTGGTCTTGATTTAAACCTATTATTCCTCAAAACTGTATCCAAATGTTTCTCTCCTCTACGAATGCCAAGAAAGGTAGCATGGCTAGCTTTTTCTTGAGGACGGCCTTGAATAAAGGTCTAAAAGTTTAGGTGATGCAAAGACAGTTACTCATGTAAGGACTATTATTACATGGACTCTTATAAAGATACTGATTTGAAGCAAAATTATTAATTTATTTTTTTCACCTAATTTAATTTAAATATTTTTATTAAACTATTGGAGTAAGCTGAGAGGGGAAAAAGGAGGACTGTCAAGTACAACACTGCAAAATTTGTAAACTTTTTTTAAGCACTTGTACATAAATTTCATTAAATTTTCCCTGCCTAGAAGTCACAGCATGGCGTGTTGTGTTGTTTGTTGTTGTGTTTTTGTTTTTTTTTTTTCCCCCCTGCCTTGCCTATAGTATCCCTAGTTAGAATTGCTAATGAGATGGTTCTTTATTTGTTTCCAAAATGAATGGTGGAAGGAGGAAAAAAGTGGGTGTTAGCCTATTCTTCTGTTTTGCTTTGGTTATTCCAGGATTTTTAATTGCGAAGCTTTGTTAGTCAAATCCTGAGGTTATATGCTATGCTAAATGGTAAATCATGCTGTTTCCCAGTAGAACTTAATTCTTCACTGAACTACACCAGTGTGAATGGTTTACAGCAATGCACTGTGCGTATAGAAAATGTCTTTTTCATACATGTCTACTAATGTTTAAAAACTTTTTAAAAACATATTGTAGCTTTTTTGTGATCAGAGAAATTAGTATGATGTTATTCTATATTTGAAAATTGTCATGAGAATTCTAAAACATGATTTAAAAAACTTGAATTGCTACAAATTCCTACCCCGAACTTAATTTTTAATTTAGTAATTTTTAATTACTAAAGTCATTTTTAATTTAGTAAGAATTTTAAAAAGAACAAAAAAAAAAGGTTAAGATTAAAAGGAGCAAGATCTAATTGTGTCATACTGGAGCACATTACAACGGTTAGGCCGGTAATGCAAGAAACAAGTTTAACTACTCTATGATCTGAGTCTGGGTTATGGTGTTACTGATATTTCACTGTTTAGCAGCTTTAAAGGGCAGATTTTTGGTCTTTAGGTACCAATATACAGCTGCTTCCATGAGAAATGCAACTAACTATCACAAGTTTATTTTGGCTGTTTGGAAGTGGTCTGTCTCCTTCATGTTGGAGCCCTTCACAAGAATGTGTCAATATGTTTGTATGGAAGTTATCTCGATTTTACACATGGGAGTTAAGCCTCAAGGTTCTTTTTCTAGTTCATCTATAGCTAAAGACCCACAAAATCAGACAGTTATGAAGGTAGTGAGTAACATTTTTAAAAGCGCTTGGCAAATCTGATGCTTGCTTTTTTCAAAAATCACTTTTGAAAAGCTAGAGTGCTGGTTATTTAACAAAAGAAAGAAAACACTGTATCACCTTTCAAAATCTAGTTTTTCAGTGTTAGATTTGCATTTATATGATTGTTTTTAGTTCTTTAGGTTTTCATACACATCCATTTCTAGTTTGGGAAAAAATCCCCCTAGCTTGTACCCCTTAACCACCTTACAGGAATAGTTACTGTTATTTCAGAAAAACCTTCAAATACAATCAGATTCTCAGCTGATCTCCAGACTCAGTGTTAATATATTTGGTTTTGGCAATGATTTCTTGCGCCTCTTGATCTACACATGAGGAAGTATAATAATTTTTCTTTGTTTGAACTTAATCTTCTTTCTTTTTTTCAACACAGGAATGGGTTGGACAAGTAGAAATAAGTGCCCTTTCTCTTATGTACAAGTAAGAAAACCTTTAAATATATTTTATTGAGATCAGTTGTTTTCTTACTGAATCAGTTGTAATAGCAAAGATGGAATTATATGTTATACTGTAGTTCTCCAGAAAATTACAAATACGCTTTGAAAATTGCAGCTGTCAAGGTATTAAATAAATACAGAACTGTGAACTTTGAGTTTTAATAAGGAGTTTGAATACAGGTTTGCAGTTGTGCATCTCACGTGTGCAACTAAAATAAATTTGTTAATTTCACATCCTAATTTGTTAAAAATGCTTTTCTTCCTATTTCTCACCAAGGCTTTAATACTAACACTATTGCCAAGCTGTGGGCTGTACCCATTTCTTTATTACCTCTGTACAAATGCTCTGATGTAGCTTAGGGGTAGGAGTATTGTAGGCTGTATGCTAGAAAGCCCTTTTCTAACCTCCCCTGTATGAACTTGTATGTACTGATGTAAGACCTGGTGTACTGCTGTAGCTCACTCTTTTCTGTATGTTTTCCTTTTTCTACTCTATCAGCATAGATGAAATAGTGTGAGTTTGTCAAGGGCCATAGATTGAGCTATGCTTAAGAAGCGTTTTGGTAATTGGGCATAGATAAACACTTCTCTTGGTGATGAACAGTTTTGCTGATGTTTTTTTTTATTAAATGTAAATATTCAGCATATTGTTTCATACTACTTTATGAAGAAAGATTAATAATTGCTTTCTAATGACTGTACAAGGGAATGAGCAGTGTACAGCATCTTCTCTTTCTGCTGCTTGTAAACCAGATAAAAAATGCAGAACTTTAAAATGTGTACTGTAAATTAATGACTTTGTATTTTGACTCTTGATGAGACAGTTGATAAGAAACAAAACTAGTTATTACTTTCAGGTACTTAGAATTTTATGCAACTTCCTGCACTTAGCACTATCTTTGCATTTTATGTAGTTAATGGGACAGTTTGGAGTTGCATGTGCTGCATGGAAGGAAGAGCACTGAACTGAATGTCAGAGTAATGTTTTGGCTTGAGGCTTAGAGAGGAGTCTGAGGGTTAGATTAAGCCATGGTGTGGAGGTGTGTAACTCAAGTCAACAAAATTACGTGCCTGATTACGTTGGAATTGAATGGTTGTGATTTTTCTGTTGTATTTCTGGCAATGAGAAATGTATTTTCATGAAATAGCAGCAGTTTATTTGGAAGCCATGGTACATTGTTAGCAAGGAGGCTTGAGGCATAATTGCAAGTATAGGTAGTACCTCACTGCAGAGGCGAACACATGAGAATTGTTGCTGCCGTACTTGTTTTGGGAAGACTGGCCTCTATTAAAAAGGCAATTTAGAGGCTCTGGAAAAAGTGGAAATGGTGATGGAGATAGGGGGAAAGAGCTGCTTCCCTTCCTGCCTGCTGTCAGGTTGAAGGCAAGCAGAAGTATCAATTTCCCGTTCTGTGCCAAGGGGGGAAGTGAGAGAGTTTCAGGCTTTTCAGGCACTGGACAGAAGTGCAGTATGAATAGGTTTGTTGTCATTTTCACTCCTCAGATCTGTCACAAGTATAATTTGGCTATCTAGTAAATTTTCCTTGCCTCTCTCAAGTGGGTAAGTCTCTGAGCTATGAAATTCTTTTCCTCTCAGAATTACTTTTTCTGACTTGTTGTAGAAAGTTTTGGTTTGTGTTTGTTTTTTTTTTAATCCAGAAACTGCACCTGTGAATATAGTTAATAATTTTGCAAGACTAATAAAACTTCTGCTTGTGTGAGCAAGGCAGAAGTTGAAGGAAGTAATAGGTTGCTGAGCAAAGAATTCATAGGGAGGATTATGGATAAAAGAGAGAAAGTAATTAAATTTAAGATCACGACAGACTGAATATAGCAGGAAAACAAGTAGCAAAAATTGATAGTCTTTCAGGTTTTAGGAAACAAAAAATCAAATAGCATGTCATGTGAGTATCAGTTGTGGATTTTCCTGTATTTGACAATTCATATCCAGTTCCACTTTTACACCTTCTAATCTAACAAGCTAAAAAAAGAACTAGAAGTGTGGAATGTAAATTCCAAATTTGCTTAACTGTAGTACCTCAACTGTTAATTTATGGTATTTTTAATCCTCTTAAATAAGATGAGGTACCCAAGTTTAGTTTGCAGGAATAAACATTTTGTAAACCTGTTTTGAAAAACTCTACTAGACAGATATATTTGATGTGTATCTGCCAACACTGCAGTGCTGGTTTACTCCAAGCTTTCAAAAAAAAGTTTGTTGCCATTCTCTCAGTTTCTCAAGAGTCCATTAGTGTATCACTTTCCTGGTATCCCTGAGAAGTGAGATGAATTCACTACTAAATTTGTAAATTCTGTATCATACTCTAATGACCACAGTTGAATTGCTTAACATTGTCCTGCTCTCCTGTCTTCCGTATTATGCTCAGAAAGCTTTTTTGGACTAGCAGGGTTTCTTTGCCACTTTAAATCCAGCAATTTGAGTCTAATGAACACTGCATGGTGTTAGACTCACATTTCATGGAGTCTTTATCCAAAGAAAAAGGGAAATTGACCCCTTTATCCAAAGAAAAAGGGAAATTGACCCCTTTGAGTGTCTCTTGCAGCGTATTATCCATTTTAACATGCAGAAAGATTGTTCTCTCTACACGAGGAAGAACTGAGACAGGTGTGGAGGGCAAGATTTTTCAGAGGTGGTGGAGCTTGATTACAGTATCTGATCCTCGGGTGCTGCCTGCTGATGGTCTGTTGGGCTTTCAGCATGCTCCATATCATGGCAGCTGGGCCACCCTTTGGGAGTAGAAATGTTCTGTGGACCCTTCTGAGCATGAGAACTTGATTTGGGAGGCAAGAAGAATTTCTGAGCACAGATGTGGGCTGTTCTGTTAGCTGGCCTCCCAGCCCAAAAGGGTTCTTGCACACGTGTCATCAGTCTGTTCGTACAGATGTAGCCCGAGCCGTTCCTCACCTTCTGGAAACTCACCACCGTGTCCTGCCTCTGTTCATAAACCCAACCTCCTCTTTGTTCTGGTGGGTTTCCAAGTGGCAAAGTATAATGAATTTCTCCAGACCTAGGGAGCCATCATCTTTCTAGACAACAGCTCTAGTCAGCCATGCCTGGAAATTTGTTTTACTTGTCGTTGCGTCTGTGCATGTTGTGCCAGCACATCTTACTCTAATATATTCTTTCATAAAAGTAAGCCTTTTTTTTGACCAGTGATAGTCGTACTCATCTTTTTCAGTATTCTTTTCCACTAAGTGTTTTCTGTGGTTATGTATGTTCCTTGAACTTGACTTGAATATTCCATTTTTTATTGATACTAATTTTTAAGTGAGTTCTTAACTGCTACTTTTTTTCATCAGGAAAGATTTCATAATATACCGGGAACCAAATGCTTCTCCTTCACGTGTAACTGAAAATGGCTTTTCTGAGAAGGTAAAAAAAAAAAATAAAAAATCACTATTGTGAAAGCCTGAATTAAAGCTATAAACAGCAGGTAGTTTCATGTGAGTCTTATGAAACACAATGAAATGTTCTGAGAATTCAATTTTAACAATTTCTTTTGTACATATTTAAGGCAGCTTATTCTATTAATACATGTAGCACAGATGGCCTATATCTGGGGTGTGGTGTATCTTCCCAGTAATCAAAAATTCTGTAGAAATCAATTTAGAAGTGCTAACTCACATAGCTACCCTTGTTTTAAATTCTTTTTGACTTTCGGTCAAATTCTTTTTGGTTTAAAGGACATCTCCTAAACATTTTTATCATTTTATTGATAAATAAAAAGTGCATTGGTACGTTAAATTGAATTTAAAAGGTAGTGCTCATATGAAAAACCAAGTGAGATGCAAAACCTAAAGTATCTGTGTGGTTTTTTTAATAGGTATTGCTGTGCTTCTCAAATGGAAACCACTATGATATTGTTTATCCCATAGAGTATTCAGAAAAGGCTGCTTTGTGCCAATGTAAGTATTACGTTGGTTAGTTAAAAGCAAGTATTTTTACCAAAAATCTTAAAATTATCACTATCAGGTTTCAGGAAAAGGCTCTGTATGAAAATTTGTTATAGTCATACTTTAGTGGCCTAGTTTTCCATTCGAATTGTCAATAACTATGATTTTGCCAAAGCATGACTTAGTGTGTCCTGATTCTTGACAAAGTAGATTTTATACCAAGAGGAGAAGATTTACCTGCCTCTTTGAATCTTAGTGGTCTAATGTAAACAGAAAATGGTGGTGTGCTAATTCATAATCTGTTGCATTGTCTTTGGTCAGCGTTCTGGTTTTGTGTTTCAGACTGTTAGCAAACTAATTGTTTATGTTAAAATTATCCTTGTGTAACTTGTCACAGAAATTACAGGGGTGGCATGTGCAAAAAAATACCTGTCTTCAGGGGTTATTGTTTTCTTTACTAGATTTGAGAAATGCCCAAAGGTCCTAATCAGGTTTGGTGGGTCACTGTGACAGTCCCTACAAGGATTCTAATTCTTCATGAAATCTCTGCCTATGTACAGAGTTACAAGGCAGAGACCAAATTTGCCTGTCAAGAGGCCTGATTTCCAGTAGTTTTATGCATACCCATTAAGCCATAGTAGCTGCAGTTGGCTTTGCTTCTAATGCCTTCACAGTTTCGGTTAACACGTCAAAATGTGCTTGCTTTGATTGAAGTAACTTGAAATGTGTCTGTAATGGTGTTATAAAACCCAATTTACCTTGTAGTTGATTTTGACCTTCCATATTCTCCTCTTCCCCAGCTCTGCTGTACGAGTTGCTTTATGAGAAAGTATTTGATACAGATGTAAAGAAAATCATAGCAGAACTTAGTGCTGTTGGTGTGACAGAGGAGAGTAATGGTAGCAGTGAAGTATCTGCTTCAGATTCAGAAGATGACAACTACAGGTAAATGGGATTTAAAATTTAATGTAAGATGCCTGTGGGCAATACGTGTTAAATGAGTTTTCTGAATTTCTGGTGGTAGTAGAATCTAAGTTATCACTGAGAACATTTTTAAATTACTAAGAAAAGAAACTCAAAGAGGTAAGGTTAGAACTATAAAAGAATGAAATGTGTAATCTTCACTGTACCTAAGGACAGGGTTCTAGTTCCTCTGTTTTTCCTGCAGTCTAGCTTTGGGTCTCTTTACGTAATGGAATATTGCCATTGCAACGTGTTCCTCTTCCCGTTTAAAATAGCAGAATCCCCTGGGAGAACTGTCAGTTTGCCACTCTGGCATGGTAAACTCCAGATGAGTTACTTGGCTCACTCTTGCAACTGAGTGGAGTTACAGGAATCTAATCCAACTTGTGTTGCTTCCACATCTGGGGGCTGAAATGCCTACTTGAGATGTAGCTAATGGAGAAATACAGATGTGGCTTGCTACATTTTGTTCCTTGATCTTTATAAAGTGATTATATTTGTGGGTTTGTATTCCTTTTGCTGGACCTGGATGCTCTAGCTAGCTTTGAGATTTTGACCTACTGATTCCTTTTGCACAGTAAGTCTTTCACAGTGCTGTCTTTGCATTTACATAGTGGCAGTTTTTCTTCTGTTTAATGCTGTTTTTAAAACCTTGGCTTGTGTGAAATTCCATTGAAGCCATGGATATTATGCTATGTTAGTGCATCATGTCTCCTCTTCCCGCTGAACATCATTAAAGGCCTTTCTGGGGGCTCTGCTGTAGTCTGTGTGGCATGTGGCAGAAGAAATTCTTTGAGACGTCGGGAGCTGATTTTTTATCTCAAGCTGAAAACAACAGAAAGGAAGACGATGGAAATCACCACAGAAAGAAAACCAAGTTCTGGGAAAGGGATTAGCTTCCTTTCTTGTTTGGAAAAAAAAAAAATACTGGAGAACATTTCCAATTAAAATACAAAGTATTTCTGCCTCGGGGAAACAATTATTGTAGTTAAATGTCAGAGAGTGGAAACCTTCTTTATTCCTTTCTGTTCTTGGAGCTTTCCTGGGCTTCATATGCAGTAGCATTACCCTGTATCTTTGGGATTGATAAGAAGATATACTGCTAACCTCCATAGCACCTTTGTAAATGAAGGTCATATACTCACATGAGACTATCAAACTCAGTGGTTGTGATTTAAACCATATGTCTTATGATGCAAGAGCTAGTGTGTGTGACTTTTGACCTAGTTAACCCAAATTATGAACACTTTGCTGTGTTTATGAAGTCTAAAATTTTTTGCTTGTATTAAAGTTGACTTCAGCTTGTTTCATTACCTAGTTTTCCGGAAGATCTTTCTCATTTTATAAATGTGAACTTATCAATCATGTTGTTATTAAATGTAATAGTTTATTTTGGTTTTGGGAGAAGTTAATGCTGACAGTTGCCTACAACAGCTGTAGGGAAAAATACTTGGTTTTCTCCGTCGAAAGTAATTATCCAGCAATGTCAGGTGTAGAAAAACTGAATTGGAGTGCCTGAAACCAATTGGATAATGGAGTGGTTTTTGGTTTGGGTTTTTTTTTTGGTTTTTTTTTTTTTTTATGTCTGCTTTTGCTATGTTTTCCTTGCATAGTTGCAAAAATTTTAGACGAATTTTTTTGTTTCCCTTGCCTGCCCCCTGCCCTCTTTTTTTTTTTTTTTTTTTTTTTCCTTAAGTGCTGGCTAAGTCAGGACACACGAGTTAGGCTTCTTAAAACTTGTAGTTAGAAACAAAAATCTTATTTTTAGCTTTCTATGATACAGAAATGTAGCTCTTGTTTTAGACTTAGCTTTTTCATTTTAAGAGATTAAGATGTTCTGTGGTATGCATATTGTGGGAGAACATGTAGAGAGTGGTAGTTTCAGTATTTTTATCCACTTCCAAGGTCTTTCTTAGCTGCTTTCCAGGCCTTATTAATACTGTATTACCACAGCTTGCTTCTGTCCTTTTGCAGAAGTAAAGCTGCAACAGTTAGTGATATGAATGGATTGAAGTCTGTCTCTGGCAATAAGGTATTTATAAGTTAAGATTTAATTTCTTCCTAACAACTTTGCTGTATTTTTCAGTGCTTAATGTTCATGAGAGAATCTTGAGTTTCTAGCTTTCTTAATGTGCAATATCTTAAAAACTACTGATTTCTTTGAAAAGTAATATTTGCTTTTGATGTGCCAAAATGTGGATAGTCTCCTTTTTAATGCTGCTTATTTCTTAATTTTGTTCTGGTATGATTAAAAGAACACCACTGAATTATTTTTCCAAAGCTCTTTATGCTTTATGTATTTTCACCTTCTTATATGTATCAGTTTAAAGCTTGAGCACTGTGATTGAAAAGTGGAAAACTGTGTATCTTTGTGTAGTTGACCATTTTAGCACTTTGTTCTGTTTCCCGTTCAGCACCTTAAGAACAATGGGAATCCCACCTTGTTGGTCTTACCGAAAAAAGTTCTTAAATCACTCAATCCATCAGTTTACAGAAATGTTGAATATGATGTTTGGCTCCAATCCAAATGGGGTAAGTAACAAAGTACTTAAAAGCTTCAGCTTTTGCAAGCTGATGCATAAAGTGAAGCCCTCTTGAAGACCAGGGATGCAAATGGCAGTTTGGGTTTAGACAGTGGTCTTTCTCACATGGGTCAGTGTGCATATTTAGGGCCTGAACTTCTAGTTTGCAGTCTTACTACATTAAGAATATAACTCTCCTGGCATATTTAAACTGACAGCATATCTCTGCTAATGTATTTACAGATCAGCAAAAACAAGATTTTTCTATTGCTGCTGGCATGCAATACTCAGTTGGAGATAAATGTAAAGTAAGTAGTATTGAATTGTAGTTTATAGAGATGTTAATATTTTGCTCTAGGTGCTAGTTTTTCCTCTGTTAACTATTTTGATACGCAGTTTCTACTTTCCAAATACTCTTTGCTTGTGTCTTCAACTGTGCCTATGCTTATTATTTAATTGGTGGTGGTGTTAATGACTTAGAGCATATGTGTAGAAAAGGCATGTAAAAGACATCTGATCTGTGCAATTTTACTCCATTAAAAAAGTCACAAGGTGAACTTCAAGAGTGTATTTAATAAGATGACTGTGGACCTTAACGTATGCAAATAAGCTTGTGCAGGCTTGCCTCCATAGGTCCTTGCTCAGTGTTGTAGAGTGCTAGTGCTAGTCTTTGTGTGAGAAGTAGGTGCATTTAGGGCAAGTTTACTTGGTTCAGGCTAAGCTCTGCTTTCTTGGTGAGTCCATAAGATACCTGGTTGTTCCTGTGATGCACAAAAGTGTGGGGTAGGCCAGTTATATAAAACTAGTCATTATCTCTACTGCATCTTTTGCTGATGGCTGTGCTAGCTTTATCATAATGCTGCATGATAAAGTGTTTGTGTGAATACAGTTGCACGATGAAGAACAAAATTGTAGTGTTGTATGTCATATATAGGCTTTTCTTTGGAGAGACCAAACCCAGCATCATAGTTCCATGTATTTATTTCAACTCTGGAGATAATGATTACTGTTTGTAAACTGCCTTTGTTCTAATTGCATTACTTTCAAGTAATGGAATGCAGCTCACTTTAGTGAAGATCCTGAAGTTTTAGGCTATTCTTCCTCTTGGAGTATTCAAAGTGTGTTACACAATTGCTCTTTAAATTCTATTAAAATTTGTAGTATGTATTGCTGCTTAAGAGAAATAAGATTTGCGTTTAAATTCTATATTACTCAGATTTTAGATTAATCTCCTTAGGTGTGTTAATGAAACTGGTGGTACTTGACTAAATGTGGTTCTTTCTAGGACATTTGACTGTCTACTGAAATTATGAATATTAATGTGAAACTATTCAGTTAGGTTTATCATGCAGCATGGGGGCTCTTGCAGGTTGTACCTTTTTTGTGTAATGGAATTAAGCATTGTGACTAAATTGCGAGAAAAACACATCTCTAAACTTTAAAAAAAACCAAACAACCCAAAACCAGAAAACAAACAACAAAATGAAAACCACAAACCCCCAAAACTCCACGTGAAACAAAGAAAAAACCCTAATATGGAGTTGATTATTTATTGCTTAATAGTACAGGCTTAAAATTTAAGACCCTAAGGCTGTCTTGTGTAGTATTTACCGAAGGTTTCAGATGGTATTAGTAGAAAAACCTCTAGTAATCAACATACTTTCTTTGTCAAATTTCCTATGTACGTGGCAAGACAGTAAATATATGGGATAAAAACATGGGACTGGAAGATGAGGTAAATAGTGAAAAGTGGAGTTGACCAAATTAATACAACGGGAAAGCCAAATGTTGTAGCATAACATTATGAAATTTATTTTATATTTAACAGAAAAATTTTTAAGATCATGGAGTGTCAGTCAGACAAGTAATGCTGTGATCATGTCTGAACTTTTTCTAGTTGTTTTAAAAATCTTCCTGAATAATAACATCAGAAATAATTGGTATTCTTTATGTTCTTAAACTAAATTTCACTGAAGTTAGTAATTAATTTTTCTTTGCTCTACATGGATTGTTACAAGTAAAAGCTTTGAGTTTTATTCTGAAAGTGTTTTCAGTAAAGCTGAAAAGCCTTAATACACTGATTATTCTTAACTTGTAGTTTTGAAAGCTGTATTTCATTAACTAGTGTTACCCAGCAAGCTTTCTGGGTTTTGTTTTTGTGTGTGTGTGGTTTTTTTAAATTTTTTTAATAGTATTTCTTTTTGGAGAAGAGATATGGATTGAAGATCTGCTTTTGATACTTTTACTGAATTATGTGATGTTTATTTCTCAGGTCTTTTGTTGCCCAGAGGAAATGTTCTGTTTTTAACATTACTGATAATTTAAAGAGTTATGTCCTCATGTTGTTTTCTTTGAAGCTAATGCACATTTTTTCTTCCTTATTTTTTTTCCTTATAGGTGCGCTTAGACCATAATGGGAAATTTTATAATGCCCATATTCAAGAAGTTTGTTCAGAGAATGGGCCGGTTGTTGTATTTGTAGAAGAGCTTGGAGCAAAGTAAGTGCTTAATTTCTTTTGGAAAAAGAGTGCCAAACTGAACCTTAGTAATGGCATCATTACTTTAGGTCAGAGTTAATTTCAGCCCTTGAGGCGTATCTACTTCTTTACTTGAAATGGTACTACCACAAAATTGTTAAGAAAACTATGTACTAAATAAAAAAAGGCAAAAAGGGTTTCTTTTGATCGTCACATCAGACTTTTTTTCTTTAGTGCTAAGTAGTCTGGATATTACTTGCAGACCGAAACAGTAAGTATGTTAGTATTAGATGTTTTTTGCACAAGATTCAATCTTAAACAGATTGACACCACCCTAATAAAGTGTTGCTTGTTGCGCTTAATAATTGGATGCTAGGTTTGTGACAAGCTTTTCATATTGAGAGGTTCATCAAAGCACCTGGCTTCTCTGAGTAGCTCTGTCTGATTTTATACAGACAATACCAAGTTGTGTTTAGATCAGCATCGTCTTTGTCCTACCTTGATTTAAATTGTTTAAAGTTGTTGGTGGGGGTTGTGGGTTGTTTTTGTGTGTTGCTGGTTGGTGGTGGTGGTTGTTTGTTTTTTCTGGGGTGGTAGTGGTGGTGGTTTTGGTTATTTGGGGTGATGGGGATTTTTTTATTGTTTTTTGGGGGGGGAGGTGGGGTAGTACTTCTTGAGCTTTGCTGTAAGTTCTGTAACTCTTCTGAGGCAAAAAGTCGAGCACAGTTGAGTGTAGTTTGGGAAGAGAAATCACTTTCAGTCAAGGTAAATGAGGAAAGGAGAAAGATGGCCATTAATCTCCTCTGTAAAAAAAAAAAAAAAAATTAAAAATGTTGTGAGATCTGAAGATTGTCTTGCAGTTAGTTCCCTTTCTAAACTGAGATTTAACCTGATTTGTACTGTCTATTATAGATTTGAATATCTTCCTCTCAAATAATTTAAACAGTTGCTCGGATATCCTACAGCATCCTCAATTAAAAATGCAGTAATTTCTCTGGAATATAAACCAACAATACTATGTTTTTCAATCTTTACGTCTATGCATTGTTTGTGATAAGTTTATCTGAGTATATTGCTTCTTCTGATCATTCTCCTTTTCTGTCTGCCCTGAAGACATTTTGATACTCACTTCACAAATGGCTTTTCATTCTTTACTGAATAAGTTTGCATTAACTTATCAGAGTTCTAGTTAAAAACAACAACAAAAAAGGAACGCCTCTTGTTCTTCTATACATTTCTTGAGTATAATCATAACAAACAAAGCACTTTCCATTTTTGATAACATTGGATTTAAAGATCCATCGGTCTTAGCAAACGCGTGGTATTAATTTATGCAAGCCCCAGTCTGGTCTTTTAAGATATTTTTCCCTCCGTAATTCCTTGTTTTGTAGGCATGCTGTCTCACTGAAGAGCCTTAAACCTCTTCCGCAGGCCTCTCCTATGGAGGGCTGGAACACTGTGCCAGGGAAGAAGATAAAAAAGTTTTTCTCAACATGGGGGCAGAATGCTCAGCCTGGTAGGATTGTACCTGTCTTTGTGTGGCAGAACCTTTATTGTCAGATGTTTTGTCCCAAAAGGCTTAAAAAATTATTAAAAACCAAATATCTATTTTTCACGTCTTTATCACAGATGCAGATTGCAGAGGGCCAAAGAATCAGAGCAAGTCAATAAAACCCCAGTCAGCACTACCTCCTCGACTTCAGCATACTGTGGGAACCAGGCAGCATCAGTTCTTATGTTCTGGACCCCAACCTCATCAGACCTCAACTGAGCAAAAAGCTCTAGGCAGGAATCCTTCCCAGACTGTAAGGTAAAACTGCAAATAACATCTTCCTTATCTTGAACTCTAGCAGAGCTTCTTGGAGCATAGGTGCCTGCTTCAGATCCTTCCAACATGATCTTTTGAAATACGTTGCCATTGAATTCTTAAGAAATATTCTAAGTCCTTAAGAATACCCATGAGCACAGGAAAAATAATTCTTTCTTCATTTTCAAACCTTTGTCAAAATCACTGCCGTCATAAGCTCCCACTTATTTTCTTGCATGGCAGCATCTCCCCTGGAAGCATTGTAGACAGAAGTGTGGTTTCTTCTTGAAAAGTGGATGTTGGGTTGTTTGTATTTTTCCTAGTTGGGGTTGAAGTAATGTCCAAGTAGTGTTTCTCAGGCATGTCTAAGATCTTTCCTCAGCTTCTGTAGAACCTGTCAGAGGTCTGTTTCGTGTTATGACCTATCACTTGAAGGAGTACAGAACAGCGTTTTGCCTGTGTGTGTTGGTAGTCACTTTCTAATTCATTGTGCTTGTTTGTGCAACACAGTTTGTTTTCATCATTGCTGCTCTTCTATCCAAAATACTATTCTGTACTTGGCTACAAACCCAGACTCTTCATGGTCTATTCTGTCACTCTTCTGTATCGTAACTCTTTATGGAACAAATGGGGCTGCGTTGTCTTTGGAGTCTGCCACATACAACATTTTAAGGGCATTTTTCTTCCACCTTTAACAGAAATACACGATTATCCTAAAATCTTAGTTAAGTAATTGAGAAAGCTGAAACAGTGATGTTTCTGATCTTCTGTGGTGCTGCTTCAGACACTGAAAATTATAATGTATTTTCCCTTTTTTTGCTCTATTCACAGAAATCTTCTTCCCCAGCTTTCTCTTGCATGTTCTGTAGATAGCAGGTGGGGGGTGGTCCATTCTCAGTTGGCACAGAAATGGATTAGATCACTTGATGTAGGCATTTGGTTTTTAACTATTATTTAGTAATTACCATTTGTTATAAAGTCTTTCAAAATTATATTGAACTGAATAAATCACGGACAAAATCCATTCTTTCCCTTCCTTAAATTTTATGTGTATGGGTAACTTGCAGTAGGCAGAAACAGATCTGGTATATGTGGAACCACATAAGTAGTACTATATAATGATCTTTCTTCTAAACCATGAGTATGTGTTGTGTTTGATGCTGGTGAATTTCTTTGTCAAAGTGATCCCGTTTCATTTTTTCCTTTACAGAAAACCAGACCGGGAGAGAACCGAAGATGTGAACCATGGCAGCAGAGATTGTAACTACTTTGGCTTGTCTCCAGAGGAACGCAGGGAGAAGCAGGCTATAGAAGAGTCTCGTTCACTTTATGAGATCCAGCAGAGGGATGAACAAGCTTTTCCTGCTCTTTCCAATGTATGCTGTTTTCATTGTAATTAATAGTGCATTTTTCATACTTGTCCATGAACAGTTGTTGTAAGGATATTTTCTTCACACTCACTTTCTACATAGAAATATGTGAATCTGTAATGCTTTATGTAGTCAAGATAAGACAAGTATGTAGTAGTTTCCCCTAGGAATAATTAATGTCCACCATACACAGTTCTTTAGGCATGTAAATAGGATAAACGTGAGCTTCTGAAGCTGTGGGCTTCTTTCTTCATGTTCCTCCTGTCTTTTTGGAAAGCTTTGCATTCCTTTGCAGTTACTCAAATGTTATCTTTTTCTTGTACGGTGGGATCAAACTTCAAGGTGAGGACAGAACTTGCTCTGAAGTACAGCTTAATTTAGCTGAGAAGTAGCTCGCTTGAATTACTATCAGAGGTGACTAGGTGGTTGTTTTGGATTTGATTCACTTAAGACCTGTTTTATGTATAAGTGACACTTCTCTTTAGCCTGAGAACTTCCTGAAGTGAGAACTTGCCTGGTGTCATGAGTAGTGCAGGTTCTTTGTCAGACTTGCTCTTTTTCTGTTGTGGAGCTGAGTGGACTTGGCTGTGTCTGAGGGAAGAGTGTACTCTTTAGACTTTGAGAGATTATTCTGATGCAATTTGTAAAGAAAGTGGATTGGAGTCTCAGTGGGCAAAGACCTGCTGTCTACGTAGGTTTGTTCTAGAGATCTGTCTTTTGGATTTAAATCCTGGGGCAAACAGAAACAAGAACCAGACCAGGAAGAATGAGTAGGTGAAAGGCCTTAAATCTCTTGCTTTGCAGAAGTGGCTTCCTGCGTGGTGTCTTTCAGTTCTTGAGCAGTAATTACATACGTTAGTGTAATCAAGAAGAAATGTATAGCTATTCAAGAGCAGGCTAAGACTGAAGCTTAATGGACAGAGGTTGTTCTCTCTCTCTCTGAGCTGTGGTTAACAGTATGCTGTTTGCTCACCTCTAGAAGGAGGATGTGATCTTAAAGTGGATATTGTCTGAATGAAGCAGTTCTTGTCATGTGAACTGATGACACTAATTCTTTTAGAGAACACTTTTCAAAATTTAGTGGTGAATGAAAGAGTGGATGAATCTGAATCCTACTGATCAAGATTGGTTTTGCACTGCATTTCTTCCTATCACAGGGATAAGTGTTATGTGTAATGAAGTCGTAATAGTATAATATCAGATGATGGCAAACTGTCATTGGACTTCTTACATAAATTAATATTTCTGCTTTTGTAAACTTCTTTAGAATCAGTCTGTCTGTCAGGCTGCTACACAGACTGTGGATAACTTAAACCAGAAAAAGTTCTCAAACAATGAGAGAAGAAACAGCAAGTGGACAGCAGAGGTGGAAGAGCAGAAGGATAAAGGTAAAAATAAATGTTTTTAGATCAAGGCACTTTTTTTGTTGGCTTGGTTTTATTATTTCCAGCCTCAGAATTTATTTGAGATGGAGCATCTGTTTAGGCAAAGAGGGGAAAATTATCATAGAGTGTCAAACTAAGCTAGGCTCAAGGTAGCAAAGGTGTGGTTTGGGAAGAAAGTACATGTTTCCCTGCTTTGAATGTGGCTGAGAGCAGACTCCTTGCTGGGATTTTTGTAGTAAATGGGAAGAGGATTGAGAGAAATGAAAAGACTATCAGAGCTACTGTAAATTAGATCCTGTTGAAATTCTAGTGAGCGTGGCAGAAAGTGCCTGTGGGAGGATTATTAAGGGTGATTAGTGGACTCGAGAAAAAGCAGGTAGAAGTATTCAGTGTGGCATGGTTAAGAATTAGCATACAGTGGTACCGAAAGAGGGGAGAAGATGGTGTATGGAAGAGCTGACACCGCATCCCCCGTTTACAGTAGAAGGAACTGTCACATGGTCAAAATGTACTTGGGTTCCCTCCCTCCCTGGTGCTATAACACCCTTTAGCTTCTCTTCATTCACTCTAAGCTTTTTGCTCTTCTATGAGGAAGTGGAATGTGGCAGTAATAGATAAGAGCTATAGCTGTCAGGAGGTAGTAAGTCTTTGCTAAATGCAACCGATTGGGTTTTTTTGCTGTTTTTTTTTTTTTCCTTAATTTTTTTTTCCTGTCAGTTTTGCCCTAGCTAAGCACTGAGTTTGGTCTCGGCTTCTTCATTTTTTTGTTTTTGTTTCTTCTGACTAAACAAAATTCAAACTATTTAGCCTCCTTTTAGAAGCTCTTTCCTCTGATTTTTGAATTTTTTTTGTTCCTTTGCAACAGCAGAGGCATTGCTGTTGTGTATTTATGATACTTGGTCTTTGTAGTCCTTCTTACAACATGTCACGCCTTCTTGAATGGTCTCACAAAGACTGTTACCTATTTTTCATTCTCCAAACATCTGAAAACTTGTTTAATTTGAAAACTTGTTTCATCAGCAATGCCAAAAAAGAATGTTCATGTAGAGAAAGCTCTTTACTACAGTGTCATGATAGGTTTTGCTGGAGTGCCTGGCATATACATCTTTCTCTGCTTTTTGAGATGCTCTGGATTGTGTTGCCTCTTCTGAAAGTAGGTTAAAAATCGTATGGGAATAATCTGTACTTCCTTCTGAGTATTTCTAGATTCCTATTGGTGCTTGGGGAATTGTCAGTAATTCTCAATCGGTATTGTTTTAATGTACGTGGTTGTCTAGTTGTGATGGTGCATATACTAAGCTTTTAAGAAGTACATAACTTATTTAGTGGCTACTATTAAACATATGTGCGTGAATTTGATTGACAAGCAGTGGTAACCAGATCTGAACGTGAGCTAGAATGTGAAGAACTTGTACAGATCTTATTATATGAAGATGATGCCATGACTTGTTTTTTCAACACTGTCTCCCCCACCAAGCGTTTGCTGGTGCTCAAGAAATTAAATTGTCTGCATCAGTCTGAAAACTTTCTAGACCTTTTGAACCATTGAAACCTTCTAAACTGGTCTAACTTTTACTCAGTCAGAAGTAGACAAGACTTTAAGCTCCTGTTATCTTAATGCCTGAATATGAAAATGCAAAACATTTTCACTTTAAGCAAAGTACAAACTGATTTCTCTTTTTACTGGGAGGGATTTAGGATTACTGTTACATATTTAAAGAGACAGCTACATTTCTTTCCTGCTTCCGTCAAGCGTCACCAAAATGATTAACAAACACTGGTTAAGAACTCCTCTAGAGTTTTGAAAACCCAGGTTGAAGTAGCTGCTCTTTTACTGCCCTAACAACTGTTTATTTTCGGATGCTTTGATTTTTTGATAAAAACTGAAGTTTAAGTTTTCTGAAGTAATATGTGTGAGGTAGGTTTTGTTTTGAAGGTTTAACTTTGGAAAGACAAACTTTAACTGGCTTAAGTTGTGCTAGCCATAAATGGTGTAATGGTTCATTTACTAGGTTATGTCTTGGTGTTACAGAGTCAAATTCCAGGCAGATCCACTTAAGTCAGAAGCTTGAGCCAAATTCATCTGAGGTAATCTTAAAGAAAAGACCAAATTTTTTTTTAATGTTATTGCTTCTCTGATACATGATTAGCAGAGCAATAGCTGCCTGTAGAGCTGTGATTGCTGCTGCTGCTTTACAGCTTTTAGTGAAATACTTCTAAGGTTGGAGGCTTGTATTGCTGTCAGCTTTCCTCAGCCCCTGTAACCCACCCATACTTACAGTCTTTCTCTGCCATCTGAGTTCTCAAATCTGGGCTATCGAGAGCACTTAGGAATCTGGATTTGTAATTGCTTTTACAGTCTGTACTTTCAGTATAATGGGACCACAGAAGATTTGATGTTTACTAATAGCTACTGTGCTAACAGACCATGATCTCTGAAGTCCAGTGAAGATTGTGGCCTCTTGTTGGCTTTTAACCTTTGCTGTCCTTTCAACAAGCAAAATGTTACACTAGTGTAATAGTGATTGGGTGCTTAGCCCACTTTGTATGTAGTGTGGTTTAATATCTTTGAATGCTGCTTTGAAAAGTATGTCTTAGACTAGCTGTGTCTGTTGTTTCTAACTTTGCTTTAGAAGAATAGTCAAGATGAGAGTTATCCAAAAGCTTCATCTCCTTTGGAACAAGTCAAAACAGATTCTCCGATCCTTGCTGAGCAAGTAAGAAATGTTTGTTTGATTTCAAAGTTTTCCAGTCAGGGGACTTCAGACAAAGGGAAGCTTCATCACAGCCATGTATGTATTATAATACTGGCTTTTAATTACGTGGTCATTTCTATGGTGATAATGCTAAGAGTTTGTATTTACAGTTAGGAATCTGTTATGAACACTGTAAAAGGACAACCCTTGATAGAAAAGTAAAAGTATACCCATTCTCTTTTGAGAGAGGGATTATTTCACAGATTTCTGCTAAAATAACCCCGATTCTCACTTTAAATTCTTTACCTTTTACTTTTTCAGGTTTCTCCAAGGTTATTGGTAATCGTTTGTGAGGGTGGCTTTTCTTTTGAATGGGAGATACTTAAATTTGATGTTTGTGGTGGTGGTTATAATACTGATGGCTGTCTGTGGTACAGGCACGTTCTGGATAGAGCTCAGTGTGGAGTTCCTCACACAGTGATGTGATGTATCTCAGATTTCTTAAGTGTGCAGCCTGATACGTGACAACTTAATATTTTGCTACAGTGATGGTGGTAGTGTAGATAATATGGAGCCATCAAGCTGCCTTTGGTAGAAGTCAGACACATTAGGGGCCACCAACAATGGTGACTCTAGAATAATTTCATGTGATCTCTTTGTTTTTGTAGAACCTGACAGAATGCTTACCAAGCATAACTCCAACACCCTCACCAGTCTTTTCTGAGGTGCATTTACCTCCAGCAGTGCCTTCTGTACCAGCCATTGTACCAGCTTGGCCAAGTGAGCCAACAACTTATGGACCAGCAGGTTTGAAGAACTATTAACATAAATCAGAAACAACTAACCCTGAAAAATACTTCTAACCTCTTGCTAAATTGAAGATGCTTCCAGAAGACACTGTTTCATCTCACTCCACATTCCAAAGGCAGTAATTTATAGGAATATAGTTCCTCCTTGCTTAAAGCTAGTGAGAGTTCTAGTAGATCCTTGATTGCTCATATGTATAGTTTGCTTTACTTCCTACCTGAAGGTGGAAGAGGGATGCGTGCTCAGTTCTCTTGTTTAATGTAATAAGCTCCTTGATCCACTGAGGACTCAGATTAGGTCTGGTATGTTCAGAACTGATGACATCCGTTTGGACCTGAGCTGCAGAGCCACTATAATGGTTTTTCTGTGCTGTGCATATCTTCTGATATGTGGAATAAGCAATATCAAATTTAAGCTAATTAGATGAGGTGCTTTATTTTCTATCCCACTGTTGGGTTTCCGTACAAGAAGTAGCTTTCAAATTAGCGTACTGTGTTCACATAATCCAGCGATAATCCTTGTCACACTTGACCACATCTGTGACAGAAGATGCACAGCCCAGTTCATCTGAGCTCTGAGTTGATGGTAAACGACTAGTCAGAATGAGAACTGCAGAGATTCACAGATAAGTTCGTTTGCTGCTTTTTTTTTTTTTTTTT